GCAAAAAGACTGATTAACCTTTCGTTGTAGTTGTCCATTTTGTTGTTCCTCAGTTTTTATAAATGGCGTGCCACAGTACCGAATCCAGAAGGACAACCACACAGGCAGCCGGAAAGGCATACCAAGGACCAATGACAGCTGCTTTTTGTTTGCATACTTCCGCTTGAGGTCTGCGTGGGTTTACGGCTGTCCGAAGCGTAGTCACGATTTTTTTGAGATGTGCGACAACGGTTGCAGAACCTGTGTGCGGGGGGCACAGAGACAGATTTGTTGGTTGCAGAGGCTATGCCTCAGAAGCATAAATTGGCCTTTACTCTTTGTAATGTAACAAGACAATTGAGTGTGTCTGAGGTTTGAGAAATATTTTAATTGATTCAATTAATTGCCCTGCCCTTATCTTCTGCTTAGAAAAGGCTCTGACCCTCATTACGCCATTGGCATTCCTGCCCTTTCCTACTAATAATACCCTCTATTTGCATGAGCATACAATCCTTCAGTCAATTGTTACACCTTTTAACTCATAATGCGTTGTGTAAAAAGCCTTCTTTTTTTTTACCAGACAACAAAAAAAAAAATTGGTGTATTTTTGATAGTTTTTTTTCCTGTATCTTTTTTTGCTTAAATTTCAATGTGTGTAACACTTGTTATCAATGTGTTATTTTGATGAACGAGCAACGTCGGCGAAAAAAATTGCCCCAAAAGAAAACAGCCCCACAAATTGGAGATTGGTTAGACTAATCAGCACTCACTCCACTGGCTCCAAAAATAACCTGTCGAAACATTATGTCCGCTTAGAAGTTTAATTTGATTTAAAGAAAGATGAATGTGCTTAAAAACAGGATTTCTTGAAAAAATAAAAATGTTTGTTCTGCTGTTTTGAATTTATCATCTTGTTCCAGTAATATATCTGTTCTAACTAATTTAAGTGATACCAATAACAAAAATGCCTACCTCATATCCATCTTTCTAGCATTTTTTGTATTTTATTCATGATTTTATTTTTCCGAATAGGAAACATGCGTCATGCTTTTAATCCCTCACTGTTTTTTTTCTACCAAAAGGCCACTTACAATATGTCACTGGCTGGGGTACAACCAAGGAGCTTATACTGCTTCTCTTTTTGTTATGATGTACACAGCCAATACTTTTTTTTTAATAGATAAAGTTTTTGTTTGCTAATCCTATGATTGTAATTTAATTGTGAAAGTCAAAACTGACTCCTCCATATGTGATTACAAGTAGATTATTGTTTGGGCTGAAATTATTTATATTTGACTAGATATACTGGTTTTCATGTGAATGGTCCAAAGATTAGATTCTTCTGTGCTTTTGCTGTTTTATAAACAGAATGCATTGATATATTCAGAAGGTTAAAACAGAGCTGCACAAGTCTTAAAAAGAAAAAAAACATAATGAAAGCATTCTTCATAAATGCATAAACTTGTCATGAAAAAGCACTTTAGATGAACTGTCTAAATTTGCATGTGGGGTCATGATCAATGAACTTTCTGAATGATTAACTTTATTTCTTGAGTTTATGGCATCTTTCTGGAATGCTGTGCCCTTTGAATTGTACTTCAAGCTGAAGTAAATCATCAGAATACTTTTTCCCTTGTTGTAGTTAAGCTATTTGATTTTTATTTGTAGGCCTTCTTACGTTTTTTTTTTTTCTTTTTTTAGCTGTGCTTTTCTTTTCCTTAAACCCCCACATTAAGAAATTTAGCAGAAAGGCCCACGCAGGGGATTCAGAACAGGTTTCTGCATGTTGCAGTGTTCAGGCAGTGTGTTTTAACCTTTTAGGCTGACAGAGGCAGCTCTACAGCTGCCTCTGTCAGCCTAAACAGTCTAAGGGGTTAATTTTTAACATTTCCTCTTTACGTTGTTTAATGTATTACAATTACCTTCCCAGAAAGGTGTTTGTAATATGAGAATTATGTCTTTCTGCAACATGGAAACCCTTAATCATCTCAAATATAACTGGCAGGAGTTATTTTTGAACATACCCTAAAAATGTAAAGGGGTGTAGCCACATTCAGATATGTTATTGTTCTCAAAAACTAAAGCCAGCTATGATTGCTGACGCTTCCTCAGCAGTTGATGTTTCTATACAGTTTTCTACACGGTCATAATTTTGGTTAGAAATTTTGCTTTTTCTCTGTGAGCCAGTGGGCTTTTCAGTTATGCATTTCTATGTTCTTTGACTGAGTTTTAACAGTACTTATGTATCCTGGTTCTATACTGAGATCAGGTTTCAGTTTATGGTTCTGTAAATCAAGAAACAGAAATATATTTTGAAATTCGAGCTTCCTTTTCCTCTATTTTAACAGAAAATAACCCCTGTAGAAGCAAACCCAGATAAACAAACCACTCTAATTAGAGGGAACTTTAACATCAAAAAACCTTCAGAATATAGTTTATGTTGAACAAAATGTTTGCTTAAGTTGAAAGGCATCTCTGGTAACAAAAATAGGGAATTAAGATTATAATAGTTTCAGTTTAGTTAGCTCGAACTTCAGATAAACTAGGCTGCAAAAAAAAAAAAGTAGTAGCATTCCACCCCCCCAAAAAAAAACATAATACACTATATCAAGCACCATTTTTAGACATTGCTCTGCAAATAAATGTTTGGTTTCCATTTTTTCACCACCTCAAATAACTACTGCAATATATAACAGTGTTTTAGTAACTTTTTTTTGTTGTTGTTTTTAGGATGCTGACTAAAAAGCAAAGCAAAAGACTAGCTGAATTAAAACTAAAAGTTATTACTAGCACCTGTATCTGCTTTGATGTTGAGTTCTTTAGATTGTTTCTGTCATGATGACCCTTAAACACCCTTGGGGAGTGGCGGCCTAGTGGTTAGTGGATTGCGCTTGGAATCTAGAGGTTCTGACTTCAAACCCCACTCCCACAGACTGCCAGAAGCTTTGAGAGGAACATTGGCCCACAATGTCCAACAATATAATCATGGCAAATGACAAAGAGAGCTATGTTTTTATAAGATAAATTAATAATAATGATAAAATGTAAATGTTAAATAATATTTAAGTCCAGATCAGGGGTCTTCAACCCGCGGCTCCGGAGCCGCGTACGGCTCTTTAGCTTCCCTTATGCGGCTCCCTGGAGCTTTTTTCAACCATTTATGAAAAATAGATTTTTTTGGTATGTTTATTTTAATATGGTGTGCAGGAGGTCAAACAGACATTCATTATGTTTTCCAATGCTGTAAAGATTTGTATAATAAATAAAATTTTAAACCATATATGTAATTAACATTTTTGCGGCTCCAGACAGATTTATTTTTTTGGTCCAATATGGCTCTTTGAGCAGTTTGGGTTTCCGATCCCTGGGTTAGGGCATAGAGCTGGGAATCCTGAGGTTCTGAGTTCAAGCCCCACTCCCACAGACTGCCGCTCTGGGTCTCTGAGCAAGACCCTTATCCCCAAAACTGCTCCCTGGGCACCGCAAAATGGCAGCCCACTGCTCCCTGAAGGGATGGGATAAATGCAAAGAGTGCATTTCATTGCTGTGTACTTGTGACAGTGTAATTACAATAAAAATACTGAAAAAACACATTCTTTCAGCTGTATCCACTGAACTCTGTATGTATGCATTTGGATACTTTTGAATAACTGTATGAAGCTTTCTAGTCATGCTAACCAACACTAGATATACAATATTAAGATGAGTTCACTCCATGAGCTCTATGAGGTCAAAGTTGTATCATAATATGGCAGTGATAAGTGATAATGGCTAAAAGATGTACAACAAAATGGTAGCTTGATTAGCTTCAGTTCAAAGCAAAAAATTATGTATAGAACAGCAACAGTAATTTAAAAGTTTGTTAATAACTATGCTGTAGCCAATAATTATATAATTGAATGTTTGTTTGTTTTTTGTGTGTTTTTTTTTAATTAACAGTCAGACAGCAAATGGCGCTTTACAGTAGATTTCTCAACAAACCAGATTTGGTTGAAGCTAGAACTCTATCATCTGAGGTGTCCTGGATAGAGGATGTTTACAAAGAAGGTTTATCTTAAATCCTAAATGTAAATATTGCGTAAATTTTTTGGCTAATTTCGGCTCTGAGTTGATTGTTCTTTTAGGAAATTTCCTGTTTTGTGGTCTCTAAACTCCACCTAATAATTGAAGGATATTAGTTGATGATTATTTAAAGGTTAAAAATAAGCTATTCATCACAATTAGCCTCTAAATTATTTCAGTTTAAATGAAAACTTGCTGATGATCATTGTGCAGAATGTTCAGAAGTAGTTCAATGTAAGGAGCTGATTTTAGCTGATTAAAAGGTATTACTATGTTCTACACATGTTGCGTCTTGTGATCCAAATTTAGGTTTTAAACCAGCTTTTTGTCATAATTGATAATCTGTGAGGGTTGTAATGGGAAAGTCCTGCTAATTTAAAAAAAAACTTAATTTCGATGTGATTCTGATATTGCAGCTTTAAATATTGACCCAATATGATATCTGGACAAATAATTCATACTTATGTTGGTTATTAGTCATTTTGTATTGAGGAATCTTAGAAAATTATTAAGTGACATCACTCAGAGAACAATGGTTAACAACAGTAGGTATGAGAAAACTGACCCATCTATTATTAACCAAAAGGTTATACAAGCTTGAAATAGAAGTGAAGTGTTTCTTTCGTCATGCTAATACCAGAGATTTTAGATGCAGGATGATATTTTCCAATATAAATGTTTTTATTGATAGTGAACAGATATCAGTATTGGATCTTACAAATCTTAAGGAAACCATAATCTGCAGTTGTACCCACTTGATCACTACTTTTTTTTTGTGTTTTTTTTTTGAACAAGTGCAGAAGTTGAACTTGTCTCGTGTGAAAAAGATGAAAAGGAATAACAAGTTTTCTGGAAACTTGCATATTTTAAACCGTCAGATCCCCCTTCATTCTGGTTTGCTGTAAAGCTGATTATCTCAGTAAGCAGAGGTTGAAACTCTTTGTTCTCCATCTCCTCAGTGGGTGGGTGCTCCCTCCTGCCAGAGAGGCAGCTACGCCTTCTACAAGTCGGTGAGCAGCAGAGTTGAGCCTGACGGGCCACTTCAAATATGGAAACTAGGAGAGTTCTACTTCATCCAATGTGGACCACAGGATCCCGTCTGTATCGCAGAGGTGAGAATCCTTCCTAAACCCTTTGTTTAATCCAGGCTCTCAGTTTTCATGAAGCAGCTTCAAATGTTGAGAGGAGGGAGTTCAGAGTTAATTCTTGTTTTACAGAGACTTTCTAAACCGCGTCCCTGAATTCTTAGCTGTCTGATTGTGTCCAACTCAGTCAGAAAAAAGATGATACCATGAGCTCAAAACTCATGTTCAAATTGTTTTTTTCCACTGAAACTGGTCTTCTAAAAAGTTACTGTAATCAGTTTATTGGTTATTTGTAACAAGTCTCTAAAATAATCTGCTATGTTTAATATATGATCAGATCAAACAAAGCTGATCTGCGGCTGAGAGCAGAAAACTCTATAATGTTTTGTTTCTAGTCTGGAGACATTTTCTACTATTCTGTACCAGTTAGCATGCAGGCTTTAGAACAACAACGTATTAGAGCCATCGAAGAAAATAGAGAAGTATTTAGCAATGAGATATACATTTCCTTTAAAATCGTTTTAGAAATTTCTTGATTCATTTTATATATTATTAAAACTTGGATATTCTCTGATGTCAACAGTTGTGAGTTTGTGATCAAAGTTATCATTTTCCATGATGAGGACATGAACTTAGCACCTTGAAATAAAGATATTCTTCTGCATGGAAAAAACAACCCTTATAATTTATAGTAATAAAAAAAACAAAAACAAACATAAGATTTCAGATGTCATAACACTTGCCAGACAAATGCTGGAAGGATCTGATTAATCTGATAAAGTAGTAAATCTAGGAGGTGCATGTGACTAAACGATCCGTCCTGGAAACCTAATCGGTACCATCAGCTCATTTGCACATGCGCAACCAGATATACATCCTGGTTTCAATAAATAATGTGATTATGGAACAAAAATTACTTATTATATTTTCTGAGACAATTTTAAAACTTCTTACATATTCTCTGTTAAACAGCTAGTCTGACGTCAACATCATGTTTGTCAAAAGATGATTAAACCATATTTATCTGCATTTTAATAGTTTTAGTTTACACATTATATACCATAATGTTAACACAAAAGTAAAACGTAAAATTAAAAAAGATTAGATTTATGTTTAAATCCAAAGCTAAAAAAGTTAGCGCCTGGATGTAGCGTCGGATCCCATTTCCGGTACAGATGGACACAGACGAGTGATAAAGAGAGGATTTTAAGGCTTTTTTTTTTTTTTTTAACAGGAGATACATTATTAACCTTTAACACATTATAGTTTAATACGCTTACTATTTTTAGGGTGGGAAAAGTATAATTTAGATAATCAAAATAAAACCAAGGGCGACCCAGGTGTATATCTGGATGCGCAAATTAGCTGATGGTACGGATTGTGCTTGGGTGACGGATCGGGTAGTGACGATGCACATCTTTGATATTTTCCAAAATGTCCACATGGAAAATCAGGGCCCTTTTCTAGTCCCAAAACTACAGTATACCGGTGCAGCCATGATACAGCTTTATCTCCCTGTATTATTCCAGATCCCGTTCCTTTGGGGTTCATGACAAGTAGAGTGTGTTTCTGGTTAAGGAATAGGGACGGATGTGCCTCTTTCCTTTCTTAGAAAAATACATATTTTTTGATAGAAATGTTGGAATTCATAAAGTAAAGACCCAATTTTGAATATTGTGTTTTTGTTTTTGGGCAGACAGGAAATTTGGATTAGAGAGAGGGGGAGGACATGCAGCAAAGGTCACCTGGCCGGGGGAGTCGAACCTGTGACGGCCGGTCACTGTACCCCATGTTTTTGTTCTCTTAAACATCAGGAATAAATAAAAAACCTTCTCCGTTCATTCAATTTTTTTCTTAGTTGTACACTTGTATATTACCACAATGCAAACATTTAGTTATGTTTTCTTTTTTTGTGATTAAAAGTTTAAGATTAAGTTTTACAATAATTTTTTTTCTTGACCTTCAAAATAAGGTCATCTCTCAGACAGGATGACTATAATAAAAACGGTCATTTTTATCATTAAGTCTAAAAAACGTAGAATTGGAAGGAAAAAAAATATACTTTTTTTTTTAAGCTGTACCACCGAGCCCTAGTGTGTGTATGAGTTTTAAGAATTGTTTCTGACAATATGTTAAAAAAAAAAAATTATCTTTTTATTTTTTGGTGTAGTGTTCACCTTGTGTAGTTTTTTATTTTATCTCTAATGGTCATGGGTTAGATATACAATTCAACCTGGCGGAAGGAAATTTAAAGTATATCATCTTAATCAATCATAAATTATTAAGAGAAGATAAGTAAAAAAAAAAAAAAAAGACATGAAGACCATTTAAAAGGAAAAGAAGGCGATAAAAAGAGAAGTTCAGGCAAGAAGAGGTTTGAGATGAACTCTCCCAGAAGAACAGCTGGGAGAGTCAAACCGACTATTGACAAGATACTAGTGAGACCTGCCATGATGGATGGTTTGGAGAACCTGAAACTAGCAAAAAGACAGAAGGCAGAGCTAGACAAGGCCAGATTTTTAATAAAAGGCATCAAAACTGACATGATTGGAAATGTATACCTGAAAGATAATGTTCAGGTAGGGTAGGAAAGTTGGCTAGAAAAGGTTTAAGATGATATGAACAGAGGCAGAAGATTAATGTTTGGTATTGTGGTCCATATAGTTGAAAACTGACCTTTTACGGAGGAGAAAGGACACGTCCCAGTGAGCAGTCCTGTAACAGAGTCCTGTACTGGTCAGATTTTTCAATTTCTCACACTCACAGAGCTCAGAACTGAGATCTGACTTGTTTTACCAGCATTTATCCTTCAATTAAAACCCTGCTGGGACTTGTGGATTAATAGAATACCACCCGACCAGTGATCAAAATGTATTCACACAGCCGCTCAATTTCCTCAAGTGCTTCTAGTCACACAGTGCTTTATTTTTGTAGCTTCAGTGGAATACGGTCAGCCGAGACTCAAGCACAATGCATGGTGCTCAAATACCAGTGAGCACTTTGTATACAGATGACCAGCGGTAAACAAGCTGAATGTCGAAGGGTCTTTATCTCCCAAATGTAAATATACATCAACACCAGCATGAATGCAATACAGTCAAAACGAGCCTCTTTTGAAACAAACTGTTCAATTTTACATTGAATTATACAAAAGCCGCCTAGGAATAAAATTCACAAAAAAAAACTATTTAAAACGCGTTAATTGCTGGCTCCAATAAATACCTCAGAACTCATAATACCTTAATCCCAGTGTAGAGATGCAAATTATAGATTCAAGAACTAATGTAAAATTGTTCCTGAATTGTACATAAAGTATACCTGTGCCGGGAAATACTATATTTTCTAACTTAGCTGAACATTTACTGGAGAAATCTGCCAAATCCCACCAAGACTAATTAGCACAAAAGACCCTTAAATTGCTAAAATGATCCAAACTTCAAATCGTATACATGAATGTATCTATCTCTAAAGGCTGGTTTATGCTCAGAAACCAGATAATCTACGTGTGTGTCGCAGTTAGAGCAGATATGCCTCCGCGCCTTCCGCAGGAACTCTGCTGCACCTCTCCAAAATTGTAGGTGACCGCAGACAGATGGCATCTGATTGGTCAAACCTGCATCCACTCTACGCTATGCGTATTTCCTGTTTGGTATCTTACTGGCTTGTTTTGTTTGTATGACCGCCATTGTGGAAAACGACTCATAAAGTTGGACCAGCTAGAAGAGTGAGGTGCAGGAGAACGCTGAGACTCTTTTTAAACCTGGATCCCCGTTCTTTTTCGCCCTCATGTCCCCCATTGTCAGACAAACTTGCCCCCAATTCCTCACCGCCTCGGCCGTATCCAGACCCACAACTAGTTCACGATTGTCCCTTGTGTTGTGGCCAGACCACGCTTCAATATTGGGCATAAATGGAAAATATCTGCAACAAGCTCACTGCAACACACTGCTGCAGGAGGATAACCAGCCCTTAAGCGTTTGCCGAGATTTCTCATAGACAGCTAAATGTCTAACCTCTGAGCATTTAACTGTTTTTAAAACGATTAAAACAGCTGTTTTGGCCTCATGTTTTTTTCTTTTTGATTGGCCTCTTCAGCTTCTAATGGTTGATCTTTTGTGGATTGTGGGGAAACATTACAGATCCTAACATAAATGAATAAATAATTTATTTCTGTCATGTTAGAAAGCATAGATTTCCAGCCACTTCATCAGGAAGGACATAAAAAGTGGGCTTAGAAAAGGTGCAGCAGTAAATTGTCTAGTGGACAGAGGCTGCAGTCGGCGCATTAAGAGCCACAAATTCTACACCTGGGCTACAAATGTCACGTTCTGGTCAAACCACTGCTAACCAGAATCATTCTACATTGTTGAGGAGAAAAGGAGCTGCTCAGTGGGCTGTACACACTGAATATTTTGGGTTTATATTGTCTGAAAGTGATAGGCATCAGAGTTAATAGAAAGAAGGCCTGCTGGCCTAAACTTTCTTTAGCATATGAGATTCCCTCTGAAAAGTTTTACAGAAGGGATTTACCTTTTTTTTTTTTTTACAATATTCAAACCTTTTTGAGATTAGACACATGGATTACCATTCAGGTTAGAAACCTGTTATATTCTACTAACTGGATTTTTTAAAAGATATTGTTTTGTTTTTAGAAGACTGAATAGTCTCTGACAGCTGAATAGAAATCATGGCCAGACATGTTGTTTACAAGTCAACAAAAAGACGAGTGTGAATGTCTCTTTGTGTTCTTGAAGCACGCTTGATAGGCAGTGGAGAATCGAAGCAAAATCAGAGGTAAAACACTATTGAAATTTAATCATTAGGTCTTTTCTTCCCAGCAGCCTCTTGCAAAGATTTCTTAAACAATCTACCACTGAGTTACAGAGAGAAATCCGAATGTTACCTCCAATAAGTTTATTTGAAAAGGCCGTTAAGAGAAAGCCTCGAGTGAAAATCTCCGACTTTGCTCTCCAGTAGAGATGGATCATCCCACAGCTGTGATGTCTGCCTTATATTTAAAATGCATAGAAACTACCTTAAACATGTAAACCTTTTGCAAATTGTACCTTTTTTTTTTTGTTTTTATCCCTAAAAAGTTATGGGGTTTTTTCTGAGCCAACACTTTCCTGATAGCAGCTTTTAATATTTAAATACATTTGAATAGATCCCTCACCTCAATGTTTCTCAACTGCTGGTTCACATTGATGTAGAGCCTGTTTTGTCCAGAAACCATCGAAGATTTCAGCTGTTTGGGTTCAGTTAGATGTTAGAAAACAGGATTCATTCATATGAAATGGACAGTAGAACTCTTGTTAGACTATACATCCTAATCTCTGAGGTGATGTTAAACAGATGCTAAACAAAAGAAAAGTTCTCAGAATGCTGTCTGTTCTCGTACAGGTGACCTTACTGTGGGAAGATCAGGCTCGACACCACCTGCTGGCGAGCACCAGACTCTACTTCCTGCCTGAGGACACTCCAAAGGGCCGAACCAAGGAGCATGGAGAGGTAGGCTTTTAAAAGAGGAGAAATAAGCAACTTGCTTTAGACAATTAGTTGATTTAACTGATTTTAGGTCTACAAATCTAAACACTTTTTTATAAGACTACATTAATCAGATGATTAGAGCTTTAAAGGTAATCAGCAGGTAAGATACTGATGAATTTCATTTGTGTGGCTTAATTGTTTATCAGCCAACCAGTCTTTATGGATTATATAAATCCTTGATCTTTATGGTGCTTTCATGTGATCTCATAATTATGGTAAATACCAAAATGTGACATGAAACTGGAAAGCTGGGAAGATTCTATGATACCAGATTTGCTGAGATGAGGTAAACTTTGACCTTTGAACATGGCGAATTGCGGATAACAGGGTGTCCACGGGTCATTACAAATCATTAAATTATTATCTTTTTAATTAAGGTGTTAATTGGCATTAAAATTAATGAAATTTGAATTCCATGGCATTTAAAATGTTTTCTTAAAAAAAAAGTATAATAATATAATATAATAATCTTTGCATCCAGCATGTTTCTCTTTTCAGCTACAACAAAACTGCTTTAACACAATGCACTGATAATTTCCCCTTTAAAATACGAAAGAATCATCTTTACCAGAGCACATGAAGGCAGCATCAGTTTACTTATTGTGAGATTTTTTAGGTTTAAGAAGCTGCTTTTAAGTTACACTCTATTCATAGAATTGTTTCCTGTATGACAGGGTTATTATTTATCAAAATATTCATAGTTTCTTAAAGATTAAATAGGAAAATTAAAATCTAACACTAATAAATGTATTCTATATGTTTATGGACTACAATTCAAGAAATTAAAATAAATCAAGGCTAAGAAACCATGCCAGACACTAAACAAGACCACTTATTATAAACGCCACTCTGCTTGTTGATTGATAATTAGGATGGAAACATTTCTGTCATTTCTCCTCCACTATAAAATTCTGAATCAGTTTTTATTTCCTGGGACTAGGACTGTGCGATATGGACAAAATACATTAATATTTAAGCCTTTGACATCAGTTAATATCAATAATTACTATCATCTTTTTGTTTTACAAATTAAAAAAGGGGAGTGAGGTCTTAGTGGTTAAGGCATAGAGCTTGGAATCCAGAGGTTCTGAGTTCGAGCCATACTGCCACCCAAGGGGATGGGTTAAATGCAGAGATTTCATTTCTCTCTACTCATGGCAGTGTAATGGCAATAAAACACTGGGGGGGAAAAAAACCCAAAAACAATGTAAGTTGTAACCATGATATTATTTAAACATAGTTTAAAATTATTTCAGCTCTGCTAAGTAACCTTGCCTAGCCTCTGTATAATTTCAGTGAATCAGAAGTCAATGAAATTTTAGAAATTGCTTTTGATGGATGTAAATGTTTTATTGTTATTGAAATGGTGTCTATTGATAACTGATGTTGTTTTATTGCCCAGCCACACCTGGAACTAGTCTGCGGGATTTCTACTTTGGATTTGTAAATGGGCTAGAAGACAGTCTGAACGATTTAGAGACTTCAACGAAACATTACATTTGAAAATATAATAGGCCACCTTCTTTCATCTTCCTGGGGGATTCATTTATCTGTTGGTTGCTCCATATTCCAATCTCCTGTTTTTCTTGCACACTTTTAGTATTTATATGACCTTCAGTTTTATTGTAGCTTTACTGCTTTCATCTTAATCTGTGAAAATATCTCAAAATCACAACAAGCAAACAGTGTTTCAAGTTATTGACAACAAAAGGAAGGCCTTAGAAAAACGAACAAAGAAATAATGTATATGTGCTGCTACTTATTGATTTGACTGTTGCAGTCAATGTTGAAGGAAAACTTAAGCAAAAAAAGCAAATATCAGGACAAAAAATTGACTGGCCAAAGCCAAAACGCCAACCTGTGACAAGTGCTTGACTGTACTGTTAAAGATCTGCTTGAAAATCATATTAATGATATCATATTAAATTTTATTACAATATGTATTCATATTAAATTATTGTCCACTCCGACCTGCTGTTAACTTAGACTGTTTTTACATTTGTCTCATATCAGAGTCTAATGCAGCTGCAGATGGACCTATGTAAACAGAATTGTAGCCTAACTGTTTGAAGATCATAAAAACACCCTTTTGAGAAATTAGCTTTTTATTTTTCAGAAGCTAATTAATAAACTGTCTGGAAAAAAAAGTCTAAAAAATAGGAAATATGTCAGACAACAAAGGAAACTGATCTTTGTATTAGTCTGCTTCTAAAATCCCATGGCATTTGCTGCAGGCAGAGCTGTCACAGTCCCTTCCTAAAATATTTCATTTTAATACCAGAATATTTTCTCTTATGGTATTGAAAATGGATGTTTACTGTTAAAATAAATAATGTAAAATCTGCTCTTTGAGCTGGTTGACTCCTGTAGAGGGGTGCTTAGAATAAATGTCTCCTTAATGTAGCCTGAGCCACACTTAAAGAACATCTAATAATATCCTGGTCGAAGGAACACTGCTTCCTTTTTATAACCGAACATCTCAGGGCAGGAATCTTAAACCGCTTAGAATCCGAACAACCTTTCCTTCTGATCACTTTTAGTCTAAATCATTCAGGAACCTAATGTTGTTTGTTCTTCTTATTCTGATGCACTTGGCTGCAAAGCTTTAGCAGAAAGCATGTTTAAAATGAAAGCTATTATCTAAAGAAGTGGAGTGTTTATCATCACATGAAGTCTGATGCTCAGCTCTCATGTGAAAGCCTCCTGTAGGAATGAAGCTAATGTAAATCTTATGACTCGTCTGAAACCAAATTTTCCACATTTCACCTCGGATGAAATGGCTCTGTGTTGTTTTTACAGCCGTGGACCTCAAGTCCCTTTAAATACAGAGAGCTTTAAAAGCTCTGCTCATCTTTCCTTATGATCATCTTGACACGCTTTTGGTCATTAAGCAACTAAAGCTGTTATTAGTACCTAAAACCTTACTTTCTATAACTCTAATAACAAAAACAGAAAAAGAACTCAGTTATTTATTTTACCAGTTAGAAATTAGTAAAGAACAGCACTCAGTTCTCCAAAGGTTAACACTGAAATGGCTTTAAGTGACATATTTCTTAGAAATTTCTGTAAATTGTTTTTTTTTTTAAAACACTTTTCTAACTGAATTATTTCTATAAAAAAAAAGATTCCGGAAAGGCCCTGTCCCGAAAAGATTGAACAGAGCCTCGTCCCCAAAGCCCTGTTGAGAAGCTGGGACGTGCTTGTTGATGGATTGATGGCATTCGAGAACAAGCTGCTGAGTAATGCAAGAGAAGAAACTGCCTCTCGTTGCCATGGAAATCCCCCCTTTTCTTTAGACAAACCGTAACAAACAATCATAGACACACAGAAGAAGAAGAAAAAAACAAACATCCTTTCAGAGTAAAGCAGGGTTTCTGCGGGTCATTAAAAATCAGTAAAAGTCATTAAATTATTATTTTTTAAATGAATGCCTTAATTGGCTTTAAAATTAATTAAATGTGATTATCGTGGCCTTTAAAATGCTTTATTTAAAAATAAAAACTTTTATAAAAACAATTTCATCAGATATATTATATTGAGATATATTTGCGCAGAATTGCTTCCGGTTGATCGTAAAGGAAAAGAAGCTCAAAGTGGAGAAAAAGCTAGAGAATGGAAAAATGCTCATTTCAACAAAAGTCACTGGAAATGAGGAATTTGGGACATGGCGGCTGCGGCCTGTTGACGGTAAAGATGAAGGACCTTATATAAAATATATAAAATAACATTAAAAAGCATTAGAGTTACTCATTCATGTATAAACCCTGTAAATATTGGACGTGTTGACATAAAAGCATGTGCATGAAGATGATTCAAATCAAAAACCATGGTTTAAGAGATTTTATGAGTGATGCGTTAATCTGCTTACAAAATTAGTAAACGGCAAATTTTACTTTTGGTTGCTGCTAACATACAACTGTGCAAAATGGTGTTTCAGTTACAGCCTTCCATTAACACAGAGATAGAAAGATAACATTTCCACATAGAAATAGAGAAGTTAGCAGTTAGACTTTTTTTCTTTTAAAATTAGTCCAAAAAAAAAAAGAAACAAAATCTAAAAACTGATCAAAACAAACTCGTCAAAATGTGCCAGAGCATCAATCATGAATGTTTGTTGGTGTGTTTAAATGAAAGTGACCCAAAAATATCTGCTTTAAAAACAAAAACAAAACATGTTTTACTTAATAGCTCCTTAAAAACATAATTATAGTATTTTATTTTATAGTATTTGGGCCTTCTGTCAATATTAAGAGTCTCTGTTTCTGCTCTTAGTGTTTCATAAAACAGATGCTATTTTAAACATTTCTACCCAGTCAGCTGTTTGCAGCTCTCATTTGTACTGTCACTCATTCTCTTTCATGTGATTGTCAGTTGTAGTCTTTGTGGTTTTAATTTGAGTTCTTAGCTTCAGCTGACATCTGCCACATCCTGTGTTCTGCTGTAGATTTTTGTTTTTTTTTAAAAGACTTGTTTTAAGAGTCTACTCTGATCTAAAATGAACCTGTTTGATCGACAGCAGCCAGAGGTTCATCAGATTGGGAAGCAGAGCAGCTGTAGCTACGCTGGCGTCACGTTTCGCTGTTGCTCTTCGCTCCAGAAGAGAATTACTGATCATAGCCTCAAACATTTAGAGTTCAACTGATCAGGGATAGAATGTTGCTTTGTTATCAGATGTCCTGGGGTGTTTGAAGTGCAGCCAGCTGTTTTCTTTAGATTAGTTCAGAATTTTTATTTAAAAGAATAAAAAAAACAATCGTCCATGTCTGTTTGCCGTTTTCCAATTCATCCATCATGTGCCCACAGGTTTCTGTTTCTTTGCATCTTTAGGTTTTAAACCCATTCACCTACACCACGCTAACACGGTTTGCTCGCCTCCTAGTGGCAATATATATACGGTACTGCTGCTCTCTAGAGGTAAACAAGCAAACCAACATGGCGGCACCCATAACATTCAGGAAGTT